ATGCGCTTCTCGTAGACGTCGACCAACGTTTTGAAGACTTCCCTTGTCAATTCCACAGCGGCGGTAACGACCGCGGTCGGTGCAGCATCCTGTGGGTCGAAGACGTCGGCATCGTTATGGGGTATCGCTCTCAACTCGTTGAGTACGTTAGCCCTGGGACCTGTGCGACCTCCTTGACCCCGTGGTGCATTGAAGGTGCAAGCTAGTTTTGCCGATAAACATCCTGCGCAAGGCTGTACGCCATTGCACTTGGTTTTGCGGCGGCGACATGGGTCACATGCCTTTGCAACTTGTTTCCGGTAGACTGTCCTAGACGCGGTGTTCTGCATCAAGCTCGAGTGTCCACGTGGGGTTCATGATGTTGATTAGAGATGTGAGGAGGCGTTGTGTGGAGTGGCCGCAGCCCGAGGTAGCCCGCGGGCTGGTCAGACGCGTCGCGTGCTGCCGAGGCTGCTTACGTCATGTCAACACACTAATGTCTAAGCAGATGCGCGTCACTGGACAGGCAAGACATCGCTAACACGAACAATCATCTGCGAACATAGCTCATTACCGTTTGAGACGCGTAAAACTATTGTATCAGCACCGCAATTAAGGCTATTTTCACTCCTTCCATTCCGAGCCCACGGCAGCCTTCTCATCCGCGACACGCCCATGCCCGTACGGGTCGACCTGCGTGCTAGCAAACTTCCGTGCGCTGACCTTCTGCTCGAATAACATATCTAGCTCCCCATACGTCCTACCCTTCGGTTCTGGGAGCCTGAAGTACACCCACACCACAACGCAGCCGCAAGTACCTGCCCAGAAGAACGCCGTCTTCGCTCCCCAGGCCCAGTTGGCATCTCCAAGCTGGTAGTTCGTCAGTACGTTGACCACAATATTCGAGATATTGTACAGCGCTCGCGCGAGTACGATCGTCTTGGCCTTCAATCTTGTGGATGACATCTCCGATACGATTGAGTAGGTGACGGGACCGATCGTGAAGTCGTATACGAAGACGAAGAGAATCAACACCGCGCCAATAGCCCAGTTCGAGGCTTGGGTACCGGCAAAAGAGCATGATCCAACGATTATCAGGATGATGAAGAGTGTGCAGCCGCCGGAGAAATGGATCGTTCGTCGACCGAACTTCTGCATGAGGTACCACGAGCCAGCAGTACCGACGAGGCCAAGGGCGAGTGAGATCATCGACATGTTGAAAGATTGTACGGTGGGGAGGCCCGCCTTCTGCATGAAGTATGCGCTACTTGATGTTAGCCCAGAGTTCCTATTGACTTCACGTCTAATACTGACAAGTAACCCATGATGTTGGTCCCGCAGATTGTCTGAGCAATCCAGGTGAAGCATACGATCTCGGTTCGTCGGAGATCGGTTCCCTTGAACAGGTCCGTCCATCGGGTGCCTTCTGACATGTTCTTTTCCATTTCGTTGGTATGCTCAATCATGGCGATCGTCTCGTCGGCGTTGAAGTTCGGATCCTTTTCCGGCGAGGTCAGACGAAGCAATGCAGCTTTAGCGCCTACTTTGTCGCCTCTACGAACATGCCACCACGGACTTTCAGGTGCAAGAAAGACACCAACCATGATCGGTATGGGCCAGACCCATTGCACGGCAAAAGGGATGCGATACGCCCATTGGTCTGAACGTTGGACGCAGCCTCGGTTTACACCTGCAGCTATAAATTGCCCCATCACCCAGCACCTGGAAGGTCATTAGCATCTGGTCTCGGAGAGAATGAAAGCTAGTGCTTACATGTTGACGAATGTGGTCAGAATCGGCCTCAGACGTACAGGTGCAACTTCCGATGCATACTGCGTTGTGAGGGTCTGAAACATGCCCCACGGGATCCCGCAGAAGACTTCGCCGATGACCAGAGTCTGAACATTGGGCGCAAAGAACAGGATAAAGATGAAAGCAGTCATCGATATCAGGGCACCTATCATGGTCTTCCGATACCCATACCGCTCGCTAACGAAGCCGTTGATGACAAGACCGATGACCTCGCCAGCTCGTGCTCCGTTGGATCTGACGCTATCAGCCACAACAAAACCTCGGGTAACGTTCCATTGATACTCACAGTGCGCTCTGCCAACTAGCTTGAACACTGTACTTGCCAGTAGCAGCGTTCAGAACTCCGTACTTGCGATTGAACTGAGGGCTGCCATACAAACTCCCCAGCAATGCGAGATCGTATCCTTCCATGATAAGAGCACTCGACAGAACGACTGACCAACCGACGGCTTTTGGGTAAAGTTTGATCGCCTGAACGAGGCTCATAGATTTCTCATCGTCAGCTGCATGTTGTGCCTCCTCATTCGGCGCTGCGAGCTGTGTCGCCGTAGGTTGCTCCAAGTCCTTGTCTGTCATTGTCGCAATAAGTGGCAACTCGGGTGAAAGAGACTGGAATCGATGCCATATTACCGAGGAGGCGTGACAGGCTTATAACCATCTCCGAGCACAGATGATCATGGTCAGAACAGGGTTGCCTTTGATGCGGGTTAGCGAGGGCCCAGCACCTCGGACCTCCCCATGGTGCCCCAGCTTCAGTGTGGAAATCGCTCATACTACGCCCAAAATTACTTCTACAGCACCAGAGAACGCCAATTTCTCGTAATTACGAGTTCTCTTGTTACCGAATGATCGGAAGCAACGCGGATGGCCTATAGTGGTTCGGCGAACCAGTTGATTTTCACGGAGCCAAGGCGGAGGCGATGCGGAAGCAACACGGAAGGAACACGGGCGCCACATTGCGGGGCTGACACGACTCGCACCAGGGTGCCAACCGTTTACAAGCAGTCACCAAAACGACGAATGAGAGAGACTGTCACAATGGACTGCATGACGATGATCATTGGGACGGAGTACAGACCAAAGTGTAGTTTTCTGGAGCCTGCAACGACTTCTCTCCTTCATCTCCCATTCCGTACACCCAGCGGTCATCATCTTGCCACTGCCCAGCTTCTACCAGTAACTTCTCTCTGATCCATGGATCACATCTGCTTACGAATAGCCTGCGTTCATCAAGTCTTACAGTCACCGATACCCTAAACTCAGTACAAATAATTTGTCGGTCAATATCATGTCACCACATGTGGACCTCTCTTACCACAAACGCGTGTGGTGGAAGGAAGCAGTATTCTATCAAATCTACCCGGCATGTTTCAAGGACAGTGATGGCGATGGCTGGGGAGATATCCCGGGTATACTTGAGAAGATCAGCTACATCGCGTCCCTTGGTGTAGATGTGGTTTGGCTATCGCCCATGTTCGATTCACCACAGATTGATATGGTAAGAAAACGATGTATGAAATATATAGACCGTCGCTGACCTCGCGCCTAAATATTTCAGGGCTACGATGTTTCCGACTATGAAGGTATATATGCACCGTACGGCACTGTCAAGGATATGGAGAAACTCATCAAAGCCTGCCACGATAACCACATGAAGATCATCCTCGACCTAGTTGTTAATCATACGAGTGATCAGCACCATTGGTTCCAGGAAAGCCGGAGTTCCAGAGATAATCCGAAAAGAGACTGGTACTTCTGGCAGCCAGCACGTTACGACGAGCAGGGCAACCGCATGCCGCCCACCAACTACCGCTCATATTTCGCTGGTGGAACTTGGACATGGGATGAGCATACGGAAGAATACTACCTTCACCTCTACGACAAGTCCCAACCAGACCTAAACTGGGAGAATGAAGACTGCCGGCAAGCGATCTACGACTCAGCAATGCGCTTCTGGCTTAACAAAGGCATCGACGGCTTCCGCGTAGACACCGTAAACAAATACTCCAAAGTCCTCCCCTTCACCGATGCACCTATCACCGACCCAACCAGTGCCATTCAACCCGCTGCCCAAATGTGGTGTAACGGGCCCCGCATCCACGAGTTCATCAAGGAAATGAACCGTAAAGTCCTCTCCCACTACCGCACCTACGACAACCAACCCCTCGTAACAGTCGGCGAACTCTCCTTATGTCCCGAACCCTCCTCTGTTCTCCCCTACATCAGCGCCGCACAAAAGGAATTAGACATGGTTTTCCAATTCGACATCACGCATCTCGGTCAAGGCCCACCAGGCTCTGATAACAAGTACGATTACGCTACTTGGACACTACCAGAAATGAAGCGCATAGTAGAGAAATGGCAATGTTTCATCGAAGGCACAGCCGCATGGACAACCGTCTTCAACGAGAACCACGACAACGGCCGCAGTATCTCGCGTTTCGCTGATGACGCGCCCGAATGGCGAGTCGCTAGCGGCAAACTACTTGCTTTGTGGCTAATTGGTCAATCGGGCAGTCTGTTCCTATACCAAGGTCAGGAAATCGGTATGATCAACGCGCCAGCCTCGTGGGATATAGAAAGCGAATATAAAGACGTCGAGAGCCAGAACTACTGGGCCGAAGCCGTGCGGTTAACAGACAACGGCACGGATCCTACGCGTAAAGAGCGCATAAAGAGGGGATTACAGCTTATGGCTAGGGATCATGCGCGGTTGCCTTTTCAATGGGATGACAGTACCAACAGTGGGTTTTCGACGGGGAAGCCGTGGATGAGGGTGCATGATGATTATGGTAGTATCAATGCGGCGGCGCAGGAGAAGGATGAGGAGAGTGTGCTTTCGTTTTATAAGCAAGTACTCCGCTTGAGGAAGGAGCATAAAGATGTCTTTGTGTATGGGTCGTTTGAGTTGGTGGATCCGGAGGGGAGGGATTTGTTTGTTTATCGGAAGAGGTGTGAGGGGAAGATGGCGCTTGTTGTGTTGAATTTTACGACCGAGGAACAGGGGATCGAGCATGACATCGAGGGTTCGAAGCTGCTTGTGAGTTCGTATGGGAAGGCGACGGGATCAGTACTACGACCGCTGGAAGGAAGGATATACATCGATTACTGAGAAAGCGGAGTCGAGTGTTCTTGCGAGAAAGTGTAGACTATTGTCGATGCGCTATCAAGGGTATACTACAATGCAAAACTCGCACCACACATTCCTCTTACTGTCCTACCCATCGCCCAACGATTGGAAGGTACTTGTACAGCTCGTCATACTCTTTGCCTACCCAGCCTACCATCTTGCCGTCTCGTCCAACAACACCCAAGCCGCCCGCTAGCCATAGAGCAGTCAAAGCCGCACTAATGCCATTGATAGTGTACCACCTCCTCTTCCGGATCAAAGCTCTGTTATCTTCCGTGTGCTTGACCTGACTTGGTGCGAAACCCAACCATTTTGCTGCGCCCCAGACGAAATGCCACACCCCGACTCCTACCAGTGCTGTGAAACCGGTAAAGGAAACTGCAGGATGTAGTGCGAAGCCATGGGAGATGTATTGCAAATTGATCAGCGACGAATCGCCATGCGCATACAACGGAAGAATCCTCGTAGTCCAAATATGGAAACTAGCAAAAGGCACCAGAGCATAACCCAACGCACTCGTTCCACTCAGTGCTGGCCATGGAATCGTGCGCTTATCCGTTCGTGTCTCTGCACCGTATCTTTTCAACGCTTGTCGCCTTCTCCATAGTCGTAGTGCGATTCCAGAGGTAACGTGTGCGACGAGGGGGAGGCCAACGAGGAGGGGTTCCGTGAGCGCGGATTGGTAGTATGGTCGTGTGAGCAGGAGGTAACGGTTTGATTCGAGGACGGAGCGGGTGGCGAGCGGTATTATGGAGACGTTTGTTATGTGGAGGGCGGCGAAGGCTGTGAAGGTGTAGGAGGAGTACTTTTGTACGCGGAGGACTGTGTAGTAATGTCAGCATTGCAGCTCTGCATTTGACGACTGGAGGAAGACGTACGCCACCAAGCAGGTCCATGGTCACCTAACCGCAATCCCAAAGTGTTCATCCTCCTTATGCCTCTCATCTCTTCCGTCTCCTTCTCAGGCCGTTCCTCATCCGGAACCGGGAAATATTGATTTACCTTCAACTCTTCTGGTGTGTCGACGGGCGAAGGGTCGACTTCGGTAAGGCCCATAACGCCCATCTCTTCATCCTCTACCGGTGGCAGACCCGGGCTCTTCTCCATCTTGCGGTCTGTGTCGTGGTGTTGCGAGGTAAGGGAAATGCTACGTTGCTGAGACATGGAATGACGTTGATTCGGTGAAGATATAAGTGGGGCGCTGCATGCTTGAGCCGAGGCGCGTGCTGTTGAGCCGCAACACCAATTGTTCTATCACCACACGCGACTACGCGACGCCACGACTGAACGACCCCGGTACCTCACGATCCCACGAATCGCTCACGGAGATTCTATCACTGGTGATATATCACCTCGCCCACATATCCCCATCGCGACACACCACACATAGACGCGACCATGCCACCAGTACGCCCTCCCCAACCCTACTCTCACCCACGCATCACTAACACCCCTCTCAGCGAAACAACCCCCTTCCAGCGGCCGTCCGCCTCTTCAACTGCACAATCTGCGATAAAGGCTACCCGCGACAACTCGACTACGAAAACCACCTCCGCTCCTACGACCACAACCACCGCCAACGTCTCGCCGACATGAAGAAGCTCACCGCGTCCAACGACACCGAGAGCAACAAACCGAAACAAGGGTTAGAGATGCGGAGTATAGATGTGGAGAATGCGAATAAGAAGCCGGGGGTTGGAAGTCGATTTACTAAGATTGGGGGTGGTGGTAATGCTGCGGCGGGTGGCAGGTTTAAGAAAGTTGGGGTTGCGGTTGGTGGGAAAGATGGTGTCGAGGATAAGGCTGAGGTGGTGGTCGTGAAGACGGAGGATATGTCCGAGAGGAGTATTGAAGCACCGGTTGCTGCTGCGATGCCCATCGCGGAGGCCGAAGTCAAGAAGGAAGAGGATACACTTATGGCGGATGATGCAAAGGCAGATGAGATTACATGGGAAGAGTACGACTTCACGAAGCCAACCGGATGCGATCATGCGAGTTGTCCTGGATGCAAAACAGATGGCATCTGGACTGGTGGATGGGTGTCTGTGGATGCTGTTTGAAAGACACGCGTTCATCGCTCTTATGTTGACATCGACACTTTTACTATAATTATACCTGGAGTCGATCAACCCCTAGTCGGGGCTTATCCACATTGCATAGCATCGGCGTTCATGGAGTCAGTACTCAGTCTACGCTCACCATATACCAGATATCTGTAAGTGTGTTCCCATCACCCTACAATTCATTTCCCCGAGGTCCTGATCGTACCCTTGATTCTTGCGTCACGACGGGGTTCATTGGCGCCTAGTCGCTGCTTTGACTGATCAAAATAGCAGGCTGCATTTACAATTGCTGCATTTACAATTGCTGCTTCTTCTCTATCCGCTACTCAAGCAGTGTGATCGATACGACTCACCGCGGTCGAGGAAGATACGGTGTTGGCTGGAGTGGGACAACGTTGAGGGTAATTGTAGATGTACCAGATGCACCAATGCGCTCTTAGCGTGCGTTGTTAGTGCTGATTACTCCAACGAAACACCAGAGTCGGCGGCGGCTATCAAGGAGTCAAGTCGCGGGCTACATTCACGATGGTCTGGATATGCGTAAGTGCATTTTCATCGCTTAACGTTTCTCATCATTCTGGTTCTTCCTAGTTGCTCGACATCTCAGGACTAATCCTTAGATGCTGTGCCTCCATCCCTAATGTACAAAGAGCTACACATATCTTGTGAACTCCTCTGTAGCGGTCTCTCAACTTATAGTCGAGACAACGAATCAAGAAGCTTCTGACCGCTGCTTCGACCGACCAACAACCTACACTACTTTCCACCTCTCTCTCACAACACCCAATACCCAAGGTCTGTCCATGTCTTACCCGCCCGGAAAGTGCTCGGCAAAGGTACGATACGTATAACAAACTCGCCGTTGTGGTTAGCGAAGTGAGCACAGGGTTCGTAGGCTTTGACGCATCGGTCATCTGCCGCGTCCATGAAGTCCCCTCCTTGGCTAAAGCTTTGCCTAACTGTACCGGCAGGAGTCATAGCACCGAGGAGGACCGTTCGGATGCAGCAAGGTCTGTCCGGGTTGTCTGTGTATCGTGCTGGGTTGAGGGTGCAGCTTGCGTAGTAATCTCTTCTGTACTTAGAAGACAAGCACATGGACTCGTAACGTCGCTTCAGCTGGGCCCGGACAAGGACCGGAAGGTCGTCAAGTGTCTTCAAGACATATTCACCCTGCTCGTTGCGAAACCGCAGGTATATTGGCAGATCTACCGGGTTCCGGACCGTTTGGGGCTTCCGCTGTCTAGGAACATCGTTCGACCTCCGATCGACTATTGACTTCCGCTTCCTAGGTAATTTCGCCGGTGCCTGTTCATCCTCGATCGTGCGCTGGTAATTGGCCATAAGCTCCTCCTTCTCTTCATCGTCACTGCCGAGGTCGATTATCTCGTGCTCTTTCTTGAATAGTATGTGCGCGGTAGAATTGTCATTTTCTTGCTGTCCCGCCACCTCAGCGTTTGCTGGCATCTGCTCTTCCTTCACTTCCATGTGAGCCGCAGTAGTGACAGTTTCTTGCTCTTCAGCTGCGTCGGTCCTTGCTCGCTTTGAGTCATTGAAGCTCGCCGCAGAACTCCTTCGCTTTGTAGGAGCAGTAGTTGGATCGTCTGTGGGGATGAACTGGGGTGTTGTCGATATAGCCTGAACGGGAGGTTGAGATTGCGGAACTACCATCAGTCAGCTTGGGTCCCCATTTGTACCAAAGGCGGTGATCTTGAACATACCTGAGGCTTCATCTTGTTCGCGGAGGACAAGTAAGAAGGCAGCGCGCACTTCCTCGGGCGGCAGATACTCCACGATGCGGCCGCGGTCCACTTCATTCATATTTTGCAAGGTCTTGAGCAGACCATCGGCTCGGGTGTTGGAGCTCATTGCGTCCTTTGGGGTTTCCGGAACGTCGGTCGCTCTCTGCAGCAGATGTGGGTATCAAGTTTGACTGTGGTGGATGGTAGGTGAGAGCGCGTCTGACAGGCGATATGGTTTCAAGCGTTTGTTGACGATTAGGCAACCTTGGCGCTGGACCCTTTGGGAAGGAGCGGTAGACCGCCGCTCACCTCGCCAATAGTAACGGGAAGAGCATTTCAGGGTTCGAGAATCTTGTCATGCTACCGTACAGCCTTCACCTTACCAGCATTTGCTTACTAACTCCTTGGCGTAGAGACGCAAAAGCACATGTCTGATTAGTTGTGTCACCAAATTCTTTGTAAAAAGATTGGCTATTCTCTCACCATCAGTAAGATCATAGAACGAACTCAGCTCAGTCCAAGTCCCGACACATCAACCGAAGGTGGTAGACCCATCAGTAGCTCGCTCATAATCTTCCCACTTCCAAGCGACAATGTCACACCATCATCGAAATGAGCGGTGTTCAGGAACAAGCCACCAGGGCTATACCGATCATCCTGAACACCATCCTCTTGCGTCGAAAGACGCGGCATATCCTGGGAGCTATCATCCATACCCAGCAACTCCAAGTCCACCTTCGTGACAATTGGATGTCTGAACATCGCAAGCGGCCTGTAGCACCTTCCTTCCGCAAAGATCTTCAAGTCTTCATCCTCCGGCACCCTCAGATACCCCTTCACAATCTTCTTCATACTCTCAATCTCACCCGACTGTGCGCGCACATCCTCCGCAAGCTCTGGAAGTTCTTCCGGTGCCGCTCCCCATCCACCCACGTACAACTCACCTCCCGGGAAACTAGTGATGTCGAGACCCTGTCTGCCTGGAACCTCACTTTGGAAGAAGACTTGTTGACTTCCCTTCTCGTCGTCCTCAGGCTTCCAGTCAGGTGTGCGGATGCGGAAGTGGTTTCCGGCTGACGCTGTGGAGTTCATTGGTAGTTGGGAAGAGGCGTGAGGGAAGAGTGTTGAGAAGACGTGTGGGGACCAAGGGCCTGCTGCTATGACTAGGCTTCTGCAGGGGATGTTGAGTGAGTCACCATCTTGTTGCTCGATCTGGATGCTTGTGAAATGTCTCGCTCCTGGTGCTGCCTGAATTGATGTTGCATTCGCGTTGAACACGAACTCAACGCCCAGCTTCTTGCACTCTTCGTAGAGAAACTGGCAGAACTGGCCGGGGTCACTTATCGGTCAGTCCAAGTCATCGTGATAATAGAGACGCGAACATACAGATGCGATGCATGAGAGGGGCCAGCGATGCGCTGCACTGACCAGTTGCTCCTGGGTTTGATCCAGTCAGGGAGCGCAGACACAGGCCGTTCACTGGGAGGACTTGGACCCCAAGTATCAGGTGGCTTAGGCGTACCCGTGAAGTCCTCGGGGATGATGCGATAGATTGTAGACTCGCTAAAGCCAAACTCCTTCACTCCATTCGCGAGAGCAAGTTCCTGGAACAGCCTGTAGGAAAGCGCGCCCAAATCAGCGACACCGCTCGCGAAGCCGAAATCTCCAAGTCCACCTGTCGCTTGACCAGAGGCAGCAGGACTGATATGCGCAGCTCGTTCGACGACGATGATTCTGCCGTGTAACCTGGTCGTCGCATTAGCAGTCTCTCGGTGAGCGAGTGCGAGCTGATAGGCTGTCGCAAGGCCGATGACGCCTGCACCCAGAATGACAGTATCATCACCATTCAATAAATCTCTTTGAGGAGCTAGAGGTTGCTGAACGTTGGACCAGGTTGTGTCCATGGTTGGAGAGGCCAGGGTGCGGGGCCGCCACAATGCAAGGAGAGGGAAGGAACTTCTGAGATGCATGATGATGTGCATTGCTTCAATCAGTCGAGACAAGGGTACTGCATTGAGAGTTCCGAAATTCTGCGATCGTCGATGCTGATCATAGTTTCTGCGTTGCAGGAGAGTCTGCAATGCCGGTTGACGTACGCTCTTAGGTCTGAGCTCAAGCGGCACGTTCACCGTTTGGCGTATGCTCAGTGGTCAGGACAGCGTTTGTGTAATTTACAAGATTCGGGTCGTCACTGCTGTCAGTGACATGTGGGTATCCCTACTCATCGCGATCCGTATCGCATACTATTATACAAAGTCCATCTTAACTTCGTCGACTCGGTTCCATGACCTTCTAATCTTCATGCACGAGATATCTTGCCTACGCTCATACCCACCTACTTCCACTCCCAACACTCCTCCACCATCCACTCAAAGTCCTGGAACTTGACAACCGCACCCACACTCAAGATCTCAGGCCTGAAGGTAACGCCACAAGGCAAGAACCCATCCCCTACCCTCACAGTTCTATTCCACTTCTCCACCTCTGACTTTGCGCCGTTCCCACCAACCTTCTCCTTCGCAGTCTTGCCCTCACCGTCCTCCCACTCCCATCGCTCAACGGTAACCTTGTTACCCCACATGAGAATACCCTGGCAGTACTGCCCCAACCTCACGACCACACCTCTAACACCCGCGTGATCAGCCTGGCACCGCATAACCACACATAGCATACTGCCCTTCTCATTCGTAGATACGGCGTCGACATCCTTCCACATCTCTTCGTGGGTCTTGACCGCACCAAGTGCCGGATGGTATCCATGTCCATGCTCCAGCGTCAATCCGGGAGCGATGGGATACATGTCGCCCTCATCAACAGGGATGCTCTTGTGGCCAACAGGGAAGCGTGAGTCGAGCCAGTGAGTCCAAGTAGAGTGTGTGACGTTGACCCAAGTTTCTTCCTTGATCTTCTTGGCAGATTTCCCGTGCTGTGGGCCGGTGGGGGGAGGTGTGATGGGTACGCTGGTGGAGGTGCCGGTGAAGGCCCAGTCTAGGTGTGCGGAGTTGCCTACGTTGGTACTATCCTTGATGGGCGCAGGACCAGCGCTGTTGGAATTGACGGCGTCCTTGGAGAACGACTTGTAGATACGAATGTCGACAAAGGTATGGTTGGGGCTTGTCAGTACCAAAGTAGATGTAGGCTCGAACTGGTGAGACGGTAGGTTCAGTGGGTTCTTCTGCGGGAGGTGGATGGAGTAAGGGATCTCGGTGTTAGGCGGCAGAGGGTAAGGGAGGAAGTAGATATACTCGCGCTTGCTAATGTTGGCGGCACTGGGGTCTTGGAGGACGGGCTTGGGACCGTGAGTTGTAGTGATGGTGAAGGAACCACCGCCATCGTCTGGCTGTGCGGGAGCTTGGAGAGAAGGTGAGGCGCCCTTGTTGTTTGCCGAGGATGCCATGGCGTCGGTTTCGGTGCCGGAGTCTGGGGGCGTGTAGATGATGGGGCTGGTGTTGGTGCTTGATTGATCGCTGAGATCACACGGTTCTTCGTTTGCTTGTGCCGCGGCGGGGTGACTCTTGGCCTTGATCACCATTTTGGATTTGAGTCTGACTTCTTTTCGAGGGGGAAAGGTCAGAGAGACTAACAGTTACCGTGATGTTGAGATGGGTGTGAACGCGAAAAAGACGTTGAGATCTGAACAATGAGTCAGCAACCGTAGGGCTTTGCATCGATATCTCCCCGATTGAAACGATCTGAGGAGGATACATCGGCTTTTCACGGTGTACGTGGATGCCAATACAACACTAAGATGTATACGATGCGGGAGTTGAGCGCACAAGAATTACCTTGGCGGGAGCGTGCCTCCTACCTGCTTACTGGGAACTGTTGAAGGGACTTACCAAGTGAGTGCTTGAAGACTTCGTAGCTTGTACCTTGCAGGTCTTGCGTGGTGTTGTGGTGTTGTGAGGGATACGGCGTTAGGTGGGGGAGCTCATAGCAACAACAACCGCGCTAGCAGCGTTCGTTTGCGAAAGGTATCATCGATACTAGAATTCGAGGTGAACGGTAATTTCATGCTGCTCGGTCAAATATCACATCACGAACAGGCTGATAACGCACTGTGGCGTGGAAAATATTCTGTTGTAAGAAGATAAGAGACAACGAAGAGATGAATGGGAGGCACGGCTTGCATTTGCAAAACTAGGTATCATTCACATGCTGTCATTTATTTGACAGACCTAACCATGACGCCGCCCATGCTGGGAAAGCCCACGCTGGGAATACCCATTGCCGAATCGTAATCCTGACTTTTGTATTGTCGTAAGCCATAGCAAAGAACCAAGCAGCTACTTCAGCGAATAGCTTATTTCTTCTTGGAGTCGGCCTCCTCGGCCTTAGCCTTCGCGCGCTTCTCACGGACACCGACGAGGCGGGCCTCGGAGCGGGCGTCACGGAGCTTGCGGTAGGCGTTCTCAGTAGCTTCGTAGTTGCCGATGGGGCCCTCCTCGAGTTGGACGACGTTCTTGATGGGCAGAGCAGCGGCGGTGGACTGGACGAGGTTGTCGGCGCTCTTGGCGGCCTTGACGTCCTCGGCGGAAGCGTCACCAGACTTGGTCTTGCCGTTGCGGCGGGGGAAGAGGATGAGGCGCTTGCGGTACTCCTGGAGGCGCTCGACGTTGGCCTTGAGGCCCTCCTCGGAAAGGTTCTGACGGCGGGGGTCGACAGAGATACCGATGGTGCGGGCGAACTTGCGGGGGATACCGGCGGCTGCTATGTGTTAGGAGCGCATTGCGCGATTGGGTAAAGGAACATACCCTTCAGCTCAGCGAGAGAGAAACCACGGCCGGGGCGGACACGGCGGTTGTACTTGATGGTAGGGCAGCGGACGACGGGCCTGAGCTTGTCGACGGGCCTTGGGGCTACCTTCGCGGCCTTGGCAACGCGAGCATTGCGTCTGGACTTCTTCTTGCCAGGCTATCGTACTGTCAGAAATCTGAACACAGGCGCCACTACTCTCAGCGACGTGAGAGGGGAATTACCTGGTCGAAGTGGCAGCGGACGTAGCGTTGCCTGGAGAATGTTAGTACAATGACATCAACGTGCCCGGCGTCCCAATCGCGAACTCACCAGTCCTTGTGGAAATGGTTCTTCTGAATCTGCTGGTTGTGCTTGATCGCCATTGTGTCG